CATCACCATACTCATCATTATTATTATTAACATCTTAGGTACCATTATGACTATTATGTGATTACCATTAACCATTAACAAGATCATTTTCGATAGTAATGTAATAATAGTTAGTGATGACAATGATGATTGTAATAATGGTAATTGTAATAATAATAATAATAATAATAATAATAATAATAACATGGTGACGACGATGATTATATTAATGATAATAATGATGATGTTGATGATAATGATGATGATAGTGATGATGCTGGTGATGACGAAGATGATAGTGAAGATGATTATGATGGTGATGATGATGATAAGAAAAATAAGAAAGGGGTTATGAAAAGATGCGGGGAAAAGTGATAAGTAAAAATAACACATAAACCTGAAGAAAATAGGACGGTTTTGGCAGTGAGAACAAGTGGCAAGAGATATCCATGGCATTGAAATTATGTAAGAATCTGCTTACTAATTGAGTAATATCAGAATCACCCCCAACTGCCACTCATTTTCCCTGCATCAGATAAGTAAGATGAACCGTACTTTACAAACTATAAACTCCTGTGGGAAATAAACCTTCGATAACGGAACCTAGTATAGCATATGGCAGCCTCGTGGCTTTGAGGCGTAGATCGCAAGGTCATGATGTTTTGCCCGCGACTCAAAACTTATCAAAGTAACAACCATTGTATTCGTACTTTTGTAGGAGGGTCAAAATCGATGTATGCTACGTTGCGTGTTATACATGACGTACAATTAAAGTTGATTCATTATAAAGCTATCTTTTTAATTTCTAAAGATGATAAAGGAGGGAGGGGAAATGGAGGAGGAAATACTTTAAAGGTCCTGGCAACACAAAAGAAAATCGGCAATAATAAAGACAACAGCATTATGCGGCTCACACTGATATCATGTGTATTTTACCGAAACGGTAATACAAAAATAATACTGGTGCATACCGGCCTATCGGGAAATACCCATGAGACTCCAACCTGATTGGCAGCCATATGCTGACCATTATATATACGGCAAATGACTCATCATTTTCCAGGGATGGAATACCGAGACAGGCACACACACACACACACACACACACACACACACACACACACACACACACACACACACACACACACACACACACACACACACACACACACATATATATATATATATGTTTATTTACATATACATATATGCCTTTGGTGTGTTTATTAGCTCACACTAAGAGAAAGTAGTAACACCACAAAGCATTCTGGGAAGAAAGGGTCATACCGCTCCCAGCGACGGGGATAAAGGCTCGTTGGATTCTGGCCAAGCGGGCGAGAGGACGACGAGAAATATGGAACCCAGGGGAGCACCTTGCTGAATGCTCGCGGCTGCTGTCCTCACTTCCGCCGACTGCTAATTTTTGATCGCGTACACCGGGTTTTGCGCTGTAAATCAAGATGATGCGTAACTATATACTTCCGTTGTGATTTTAACGAATATTTTTGAATATGGTTGCTGAAAGAAATTTTTCGCTGTACGATATCAACTTTCGGAAAAGTGTATGAATTTACATGGTTTAAATGCGTGGTCACGCAGTGTTTCCAAACATTTTACTTTAGGGAACATATGAAACGTAAATATAAATATAGTCATTCTTCAACATCCTGTGGAAGTTTTTTATACGCCGAACCGGTCTTTCACATTAAACAAACATGATGAAAGAAGCAACCGGTAACTATGTGTTTTCCGGTACCGAGGAGCATCGTGCAGCGGGCACCCTCTGCCTAACTTACAAGTAACCCTGGTTTGGAACCTGGAATCACAGAGCAGACGGGTCGGAAGCACCTGATGTAGTGGTTGTGGCGTACGTAGTGTAAATGGCGTTATGGACATACTGTTAGCAGGTGTAAAGTCCCGACAAAACAAAACTAAAACTGGAATGCAGTGTTCAATTTCATTGAATGAGACAACTAGAACCCTGAGTATCTTGAGTTCAAGTTTTATAGCTTAGTTCGAAGACGTGTATAGTAATTTGTGACAAAATCTCGTGTTTTTTTTTTATTTGTTATATATTAAAAGTAGAAGTGCAAGATATTATTCCACAGGCGTCAGCGAAAAAAACACTAGAGTTTAAACGAATAAATTGTTACTTCTAAATACAAAGTCTTGGCGGTACTAAATACAAATAGTTTGTAGACAGAACAGAGGATATTGGTAAAACTGAGCTGCTGGCTCGTTGCGACATAAATCTGTAAAACTTGAACGTCTTTGGTATAATCTAGCAAAGCTATAAAATATTAGCTCTTCTGTTGGTGTAAATTAATTTTACATGGAATTAACATTCCATGCAAAGTAACTCGTGAAAACTCGCACCAGTCTGCACTTTCACTCAGAGTCGGTAGTTTTTGCCATTTGAAGGCCCAAACTATTGCTTCTATTTATTCAGGCATTTTTAGGCTACCTTCATTGCCGTGTCAGGACTAATGTTGCATCTGGATATTTACATTTCTCTCCTTTT